AAACTTGCAATTTTCTTACCGCTCCCTTTTAATTATGTCTCAGATTCTAGGTTAACAGCCCTATTATGATGTTTTTTGCAGCTACCGTTTCCTTTTCTCTAGGTAAAAACGAAAGGCAGAGAAACAATCAGGGATATTAGAGGAAAGTTTGACGAACTTAAGGTTGTATTACTTTTTAATTTATACCGTTTATTTATGTGCTTTTACTTGTTTTAAGGAAGAGTCTCCGTTCAAAACCATTTCAATGAATCGTCGATCATTCACTTTTGAGTCGAATGCCGTGAAAAAGATTCCGGAAAAGGTGTTTGATTTATACTATTTTGTACCTTATTTTTGGCTTCACTATTTATTGACGATGGTCACCAATCCGAAAGGTCGAAAATTGTAGTAATTATTCATGTTTGCGTAAAACAGTTTTTCCTAATATCTCATATGGTTATAGAACGTCATAAGATGATGCGATACAATCGATTTCGTTCGCAGGTCATCGACTCCTACCAGTTTCTGGCATATGTAGTACATTCTCGGATCGAATTTCTTACTCAGCTACAGAGAAAGATTAATTTCTGCTTGGAATTCGCAAACCGTTTTTTGAATTTCAGTGACGTGTTACTATGACGGCTTTGCTTTTTCCTGCAATATGAACAGGCGCTTTTTAACTTGCGTTTTTTGATGTAATACAATCAAAATCTGCTCATTTTCATCATTCAGAATTAATTTTCATTTACATTAATTAAAGTAATTTCTTAAATTTCGTCATTCAAGAATAAACCTTGTTTCGCAATAACATTATTTGCGAAGATGCAACTTTTAGATCTTCGAACGTCGCAGTGCACGGAAGAAACTGACTCGATGCCAGTCTGACGAAATTTTTCATGAATGCGACCCTAGGTTAAAACATTTATTATTCACTACAGCTCGAATGAGAAAAATATTTACAGCGTTAATTTCAGCCAAAAGCTTTGTGATCATGGAGAGGGCAGCGGCTCCAGCGTTTCTGTCGCTGAAAATATCTACGTGCAGTTTCCTACTTGTTCTCGTTTCTCGGCGTCAAGTATTGCACCGTTTTCTTCAAGGTCCACAGACGATGAAAATGTAAGCTCGCT